ACTTCTCCATTTACTACTCCTTGTATTGACAAACTTATTGGTACATTCCGTTCCTCACTCACTTTTTGCACTGGTAAATCCAACAGGTCTGTTTTGCTCCGTTTGCGCTTCCTCAAATTGCACGAAATTATCTACCTCATATTTTATTTAAATGTTGAGATTTTCGGAATATTGTAGTGCTATATTGTATTTTTTAACTTTAAATGAACTTACAATTGTTTGAATGTTGCCCAGTTGGAAGACGACGAAAGCGAAATAAATAAAATGCATGTTGAAGTGAACAATACTTTGCCAATTCTGAAAAACATTCAAATTTACTAATGCACTGGATAACAACGCCTGTTGTTTGAAAATTGCATAAAGATTCAATAAATGCTTTTCTAAATGTATTAGCGTTGAAAAAAAAGAATATGGTGGGACATCTCTCATTCAAACGACTAACATAACATGTTGGAAAGGGATTGTAAACGTTCCAAAGTAGTATTTGCGAAAACTTTATCCATACAAATTTGATTGGAAGATAATTTTGTTCTTAAAAAAGCACTCATTTCACGCTTACTGGAAATTCCAAAATTCCATGACGCAAAAGTCTGGATAGCAACTGGCATTTTCTATCGGAATAAATGAAGTAGAACTTACCGGATGAAATTCGTGGAAGAGTCTTTAATATAGACGACTCAGTCACTTCTTTTGCTTAGTACTGTCCAAATATCGTCTGTGTAAATGCTCATTCAAATGAGAGTGGCAAACTATCTGTACAAATAATCTATCGCAACGTGTAATAATGCAATGATAACAATGATCGTTTAATCCTTTATACTGTACAATTTCATTTTAGCTGTTATATTGCATTGTGAAAATTAATTTATGCAAATCCGTCGCAAAATTTTGTGCATAATTTCGTTTCACAAAGTTTTGTGTGCAATTTCGTCACATTAGATTGGAAAATTTAATTCAGTTATATTTCATAGGAAAAAATGTTCAAATTGACAGCAAACAATTGAAATTTTAAATTTTAAAGGACCATTTTTGTTGAATAAGATAATCATTTAAATTATCAATTCAATACTATCTGATATAACTTTTTTTGTAAAAGTAAAAACAAAAGCTTTGCTCCTGGAATATTGGAAGAAGTTTATATATCTAAAAATTTATTGCAACTGGAAATATTGATGAAATACATGTAATTCAAATTTTCTATCCTTTTGTATCTTTTTTTTTAAAGTAGATTTCACTTTCATGAGTTTTTTTTCTTTTTTTTTTGCTATAAAAACAATTACATGCTGACAATCTTACTAATCGCTGATAATAATAATGCCTGCAAAGTCGAAAAAATGTCATGAATTGGAATTCAGAATACTTCCAAAATAATTAGATTCGTTACACAAAATTAATAAAATAAATATTTTGATACCTAAAGTGATGAATTACTCATCCAAATCCATCTCTTTCAATTTTTTAACCAATCTTTAATTCCAATGTTCAAATGTTGCAGACATGGAAGGCCCTTTTTTGTTAATTGTTTCCAATCTGTTAATCAAACTTACGTGCAGTTGTTGGAATGTTGCAATGATTCGAAATCTTATAAAGGATCTCTAGTGTGGCAGTTAGGCTAATAATGGGGCTAGGGTCAGTTATCCTCCTAGTGGTTAGTTATCAAGTGTAAAAGCTCGAGTAGTCTTTCGATCCGACAGCGTGCTGTGTCATTCAATCGGAGAGCTAGCGCAAAGCACTCAAGGCGATAGCATAGCCAAGCGCTCAATTTGACAACGGTTCAGCGGCGAGAAACGGCAATTCGACAGTCGACAGTCGACAGTAGGCATGAGCAATAGACTTAGGCTTCAGTCTCAGACTTAGGCCTAGGCTTAGACTTTGACTTGGGCTTCCTAGCATCTGGCTGGGCTTGTTCGTAATTTTTCAAGCTACGAATCCTTCAGTGCTCCTTTACTGCCTGTCACTATTATTCCATCACTGCAATGATATCCTGTACTGAATTACTGGATTGCATTCATCTTAAGCAATCTTTTTATAGAAATCAATAATTGCTGTTTCTGTGGCATCATTATCAGTACAATTAACAATTTCTTGCTCCTCTACAGCCATCGCATCCGTCCTTAAATAGTTCGCCTAGTTTGGACAAGGAAATAAATGCCATATTTATTAGTAAGTTTCTTTTTTGCATACCTTATTATTTGACAGTAAGAGTAAATCAATAATTAAAAAATTTCGCTTTTTTCTTTTTTACAATCATTGGGAATGGAAGGAAGACGGATAAAATTGATAAAGAAAAAGCACAGGTAACCATCAACCCAAATTTCTCATTGGAAAATTCAAATGTTTTTAGAGCTTTTATTTTTTTTTGTGGGACTCTTTCGATGCCTATTAAAAATGAACAACTTATAGATTTCTTTTTTTTATTTTTGTTTTGACGGTTTGTTTAAACAAACAAACAAATAACATTTAACAAGACCACTCGCATTTTAACTATTCTCAATATATTTCAAAAATCACTTACATTAAATATTTTATTGTCAATCTTCCCTGAATACACTTAATCTTTTGGATTTTACAATATCATGATTGAATGCTTTCCGTTGACCGATTATTTCTAATTAAGATAATGACTAAATTAGAATAAACGCAAACAGAAAAAAATGACATTATCTTTTTTAAAAAAATTTTTGAAAAATTATTAATCGAATGCTTTATCAATTGGCTAACAAATGGATGAGGCCTTATTATTAGCCAAAATTATGAATTTTCGAACGTAATAAATAAATCAAAATGTCGAAATGTTAAATAAGCTGCATGGTAAATGAAATAACACTGAATCAACTTTAAGAAAGTAATTGATCAACTTAACCAAACCTAGGATATAATCAGGAACTGATAACTGCCTTGATTTAGGAAAGGTTTCTGAAGTAACCGCCTCAT